TGACTATGAGATATACATGAACATGTATGAACATGTATGATATTTAATGGTTTTCTCAAGCAAATCCAAATTGGGCAAGGAATTCAGAGTGCAAAAGCAACTTCAAACGTATGTTCTAATGGAAGTTGTGGCTTGGGAAGTTGCCACACTCAGCAGAATTTGCCATTAGTGGTTGAGATCAACAATGAGCCTCCAGTAAACCAACCTAGATATGAAAACTTCATAAAACTTCACCGTGAAAGTCATCAAAGTCATGAAAAAAGATCATCTTTCCAAGACTAAAACCATGGATTTCCATAGGCGTTTTTGTATATTTCCTGGAGTCTATCCGGTAACCAGTGACCATCATTGACCACTACCAACGAGGCCAAGACTTTGGAGGAGCTCGCATCGGAGGCGTCGGGATAGGTCTCATCATGACTCATAACTTTTGGGGTCTGAAGTTGCAATGAGTTCTTTCTGAAGGTATTTAGCTACATCTAATGATATATGTTTCCTCTTATATAAGTGGCTATTTGGAGGGTATGGTATATCCATATATAAGATTATATAAGCATATACGTACGTCATTTAGTTCGCCATGTGACCCCACTTGGGAGCCGACGAGCGAGTCGATCGATATACGCAGCTGCAGGTTCAGAATGGCTCAGCAAGGCTCATGTTGGACGCCACCACTCACAAAAAGTTGGTGGGGAATCCTGGGAATCGTCCAAACCCTGTTCTCCCGAGCCCTAAAAAAATCATGGTTTATTTCGGAATCATCCCCTTTTATGGCCTAATTTAATTCAGGTTAGTGAAATATGATAATTTACCCAGAATTCGGGGATTACAGCAACTTTATCGAGCAGGGAATGTGTGTGCGACTGTGCTGTTGCCAGTACCCGCGCCAAGCTGAAATCAACTCAGATGACTCGTGCCGCGTCGGTGTTCCGAGGTTCGCGTGGTCGACGTGGTTTTGCTGAGACTCTACTCGTCCCACAAAAAGGCGCTGATGGGCAGAAATGACGGCTACCGTTCGCTATCTCGTGCTGTACTGATACAGTATTGATATGTATTGATGCCTTTGTTGCTCCTTGTCGTGATGCTGAGAGCTGCGTTTCTTCTCAGCACATGCAGAAGCTCTGTCAAGAGACTCGCAGAAGTGGCGGGTGGTCTGCGATTTGTCTCAGGATCGACTGCTTATTGAAGTTGCAGAAAAGTACCCAGACGGCAGAAGGCAGGAATTCGACAAGACTGACAACTTGGTGAATCAGAAAATCATTGGCACCTAAACCTTGGCGCTAAACGTGGTGAGTTTTGATGTGGGTTCTCCCCCACTTTAGGTTGCCATACTCAAATTCATTTCATCATGGTGGATTTCAGAATTGGTTTAAGGAACAATCTATACGATTATTATAGGACCTTCCAACAAATTTGGGAGTAACACATGTAAAAACTAACCATGGTTTCCCTTTTTTCCTGCAGATTAACCTATTTCGTCGACCTGGAGCTTCGGGGGATTTGAGTTTCCCACAGGAGAAGTGCATCTCGACTGCCAGGGAGCAAGAAATGTCCGCATGAGAACAGCCAGGCCTCTGCCAAGTTTCGCTGGTTTTTATGTCATCCATTTGGTCATATGGCTATGGATCAATACCTATTAATACCATTTTAATGGGATGAACATCCATTTACCAGCTATTTTGATGTTCACCAGGGGTACAAGGTTTTGACACACTGCCAATTTGCTCCTGGGTTTTCATCGTTAGGCTCATCCGTGACAGAATTTCACAAGCATTGAAGACAAAGGAACCCATCAACGGGCGCGGTCGTGAGATTGGGTTGACTTGGATGGTGTACTGCAGGAGACAGCGATTCGCATTATGAAGGAGCCCCATGGCACGTCTCCGTTTGCTGTGGCAGTTCCATGTGGATTTCCTTACACTGCTTTGGGTCTGGTTGCAGTCTTGGAGCTTTACAATTTTCAGGATGTCTAACTCTAATCAATCTAATTAATCTAATTCTAAGGGTAGATACCCCCCCTAGATTTAATATGGAACCTCAAGAATGCGGTCGCAGTTAGATGCTTTTGCTGGATATCGTCCGAGTATGTCCGAGTCTTGGGTTGCAGTCTCCACACGGAAAGTATGCAGTGACAATCCCCATTTACCACTCAACAAATCCCACTCAAAATCACTCAAAATGATTGTCGCAGCAATGACTTCGATAAGTTTAAGCCAATAGCGATATGGTGAAACGATTGACACTTCTGATCAAAGGACCTCCTGGGCATGAGCGCGGATGGTGCACATCTGATTTTTGAACACAAAGAAGTCTACGAAGAGGACGGGTCGCGGTGTTCGCTCCAAGAACTTGCGATTCAGCATGGAGATGAAATGAAATCCACCGAAGCTGGGCACATTTTTTGAGAGAGGGCCCCCCCATCTGGATTAGCTATTGAAAATTGCCATTTATATCCATAGAAATAGTTGATTTACCATGATTTACCTATTAAAATTGGGGACTTTCGAGTTCGCTATGTAAACGTTTGAGGCATCCAGGAGTTTTATTGTCGCTTTACCTTGTCCGTTGTACGCCCTGGCAGGAGATGGACTCGCCCTCTTTTCCTGGGGTCAGAACTGTGTACAGAAAGGAGATCCTCGAGGGCTGCTTGAAAGAGGACAACACCAAAGAGGTGCGAATGGCTTCCCATGGCTTCCCGCACCGGGAAGATACATTTAATACATCAGCATTTTGTGATTGCCCACAACTTGGAGGTATATTACGGATTATTACGGTATGTATTGGATTCAACGGCACACTGGAAGATTTCATGCCAACATATTCCAACATTTCCAATTTCCAGAGATTTTCCTGAAATTTCCAGAAAAGTCCAAGTTGAGAATGCTCCAACGATGGATCCCAGTTGGGAGTCAAATAAACGCTCCTCTTGCAATGTCAAATTCGCGGAGGCCCTGCGTCGTATTGGTCTTCCAGAAGGTCATACCTGGAGTGTTGAGGAGATGGGGGTGATCCGGCGATGCTGTCACCAGCTGGGATAATTTTTGGATAATGTTTTTTTTTTTAATAACATGAAATCTGGATTAAACATTAATTATGATTAATTAATTTGGATTAAACACATTCAATGTGTAAACTTGAAGCACTAAGAACACTTCTGTTCTGAATAGTAACAAAGTGCTGCGCACTTCTTGGTCCGAATTCAGAGTAGTGTTTCTTTCTTCTGTTGATCGAAACGAGTCAAACTTGGCATCCACGGATGACGGTTCTTCCTTGCTCTACATCTACTGGTTGGTGGTTTGACATGAATGGATTATGACTTTCCATATATTGGGAATGTCAGAATCCCAACTGACGAACTCCATCATTTTTTAGAGGGGTTCAAACCACAAACCAGTCTAACTTGCTCACGTTTTAGATGCCTTGGATAAACTTTGGATATGCCGATAGAGCAAGAGGAGGTATGATCAGACATGATTGCTCTAGGACTCTAGCTATTTGATGTATCTTAAGATTTGATAGCCACACATCTATACAAATCTCATATATTTGATTTTCAATTTCCCCCAGTGACACCCTTAGCTCATTGGTGCTTCGGCGCATGTGGGCCCAGCTGTGTAGCTTAGAGTGGCGACTTGGTGTGGCCGGACTTCCACATCAAGGTGAGGAAATGACACAAAACGATGCTTGATGATTGATGGGCATAGGCATAGACAGGCATAGACAGGCATAGACAGGCATAGACAGGCATAGACAGGCATAGACAGGCATAGACAGGCATAGACAGGCATAGACAGGCATAGACAGGCATAGACAGACATTGAGGAATCTTGAGGATCATGGATGATTTTCAACATTCGAATGGCTATGGGGCTATGGCTATGGCTATGCTATGATTATGATTCTGACATATTTTTAGAGTATGTGGTCATGGATGGTCATGGGGTCCACCTCATCAGTACCCTCAGTACCCTGCTTGCGTCAAGGCAGATGTGCCACTCTTAGCAGGCGCTTTTTTCCGGCGTCAGGAGCATCCCAGAGAAGCGACCAAAATCCGTTAAAATACGATTAAGAAGAGTCAAATCATGTAAAAAATATCCTAAAAAGTCCAGTAAAATTCCAGTCACATCATGCAATAATCCGCTAAATTCCAGTAAAATCCTGTAAAGATCCACTAAACTCTTAACCATTTGGGTCGCCCTCCAGGTGCCGAGCTGGACCTGGAATACCTGGATAGAGGGTGGAGTTTCTGGGTACCAAGGCCGAAGGAAATTCATGGCAGGAAAGGGATAGGTCATCCAAGGGTTGATCATATATAGTATATACATATATATATCTGGGTAAATTATAACGACCTCACTGTTCTCCCTCACTGGAATCATGGTTAGTAAGAGGAATCATCCCAATATATTTCAGGTTAGTGAAACATTGTAATTTACCCAGATATATATTACCCTCTGGTAATTTAACATAGCTATTGAACATGGCCCATAGAAATAGTTGATTTACCTATTAAAGATGGTGATTTTCCATGGCTGTGTTAGTTTACCAGAGGGTAATACAATATATACCTATAATATGTCTATAATATATCTACAATACATCTATAATATATGTCTATAATATATCTATAATATATCTATAACATATGTCTATAATATATCTATAATATATCTGTAATACGCCTATCTCTAGACATATCTCTGTATCTCTCTCTCTATATATATATATATATCAATACTGATCTATAATTCTCATGCTATGTCAGCTATGTCATGATATATTTATATATAATCATAACAAATCATTACAAATGGTTTATAAACCATTTAACTATGGTTTATGGTAGATATAACTATAGTTTTCATGGGCTTTATAAACCAACTTATAACTGGGGGGCACCATCCTGTAACAAATCATTGCAAATCATAACATATCCATATATCATCTATCAGTGATGAAGACGAGACGACGTCCTCCAGGCGGCTCTGCTTGGTGCCTTTATGCGAGGCTGGTAACACAGCCGACTTTCTGGCGAAAGGTCAAACAATTGGTGAATTCTTTAAGCCAACTATTTTACTTTTATCCATTTTATTTAGTGAGTTGTAGTGATATTTCATGACACCTTCTGGTATGTAATATTTCTGGTAAATGGTGTCAACCAAATGGTTTATTGTTGTTCCCGATCATTTGATATATAGGGATATCTCATGAAATATTTTTGGAAGAGAATCCACATGGGGATGAGTGTTGCATCGGGCTTCGGACCATTTTTGGTGCTGCAGAGGCCATGTTACTCTGTTGGCACCTGAGAATCGACACGTCGAGAGCAAATGCTGAGGATGAAACCACTGGAAACCAACTTGCGTTAGACTTGCAAACTGTAGAGGGAATTCAACTTTGCAAAATTTTCCAGTGGTAATTAGGCTTGGGAATGGGTTTCCCAACTTTGCCCAACAAGCCAGCTTTGTGTTTTAGGAGTTGGGATTTTTTCAACGACTACAGCTTGTTTCTTTTCGTTTCAAAAAATGAGCTCCCAAATCCATCCAAATCCCATGATTGATCATAGCTTTCACAATTCAGAGAACCATTTTGGGGTATGACCACCTATTTTGACAATATTTTGACTATTTTGAAGTTCTAGATCTCTTAGCAGTTCATCCCGTTTTTTTCGGGTTTAGGGTCATTTCACCTACAGCAATTTAACATCTCCGGACAGTACGTATCACTGGACATCCCCAGGATGGTTCAATCCTTCCAAGACATCCAAGCCCTGTCAAGCTTTGGTTCTCCCAAGAAATGATATACCCGGCCTGGTATCATAGATATACCATGTTTATAACAACTAGATATATATATATAGATATATATAGTGTATACCATCCATGATATAGATATCTATAATGATATACTATAGATCTATGAATCTATGATATACCCGGCCTGGTAAACGTTGACATAACGAACTGGAAAGATCCACCCATGTTTCATGGGTAGTCATCCATTATTTCGACTGGGCCATTTTCAAGTTTGCAAACTGTTAAATTGCCAGAGTGTGTTCCCCAAAATCCAATGGCTTTTTCATGTTTTTCTATGAAACATGCCTCGGAGGATCAGCCATCCTGGGACCCACGTGTCCCAAGATACCTGGGCAGCTTGAGGTTGGTGTTGCTGATGCTGACGCCGACTCGGCAGCAGTCAGTCTGGATGCACAGAGATGCACTGCTCAAGTAGATGTATCAAATCTGGTTGGTGGTTTGGAACTTTTTTTATTTTTCCATATTTTGGGAATAATCATCCCAACTGACCAATATTTTTCAGAGGGGTTGAAACCACCAACCAGAAATATACTGACCATGAAGCGGGAAGTTGTTGTAGCTGTCCCTGCATGTGAAAAGCTCTGTGACCGTGCCGTGCCGGTGTTTGAAAACGCAGTTCCATACCCTGCTTTATCATCATTGTCCCCATTAAAATGGTCATCAATTGGGAGTTACCCTCTGGTAAACTAACATAGTTATGGAACATGGTCCATTTATGGATGATTTTCCCATTAAAACCTCCATTTATAAGGGATTTTCCATGGCTATGTTAAATTTCCAGATGGTGCCCTCTGGTAAACTAACATAGCTATGGAACATCGCCCATTTAGTTCGATGATTCACCTACTAAGTCAGTAAACCACATAATTGTTTATGTACATCTATATATATATCCACATATATATACACACATATACACATATACACACAGAACATTTAAAGGAGGGCTGTTAATTTTTTGTGAAAGTCCCCCAGTTCATTCAGCTCCAAAGCTCCAAGGTGGATGAAATGAAAGTTTATTGGTCCGAACCGTGGCAGCATCGCATCATGCGATGCACCTTGAATGGCACCGATTTAGAGTTGGATCCCTAGAGGGGTGTCAGCGACGGAGGAGGATTCAGATTCCCAACTGACTAAGATTTTGCTTGATCCCAAATTTAAGAAAAAACACCTACTAGAAATCTTTTATGGATATATATATATATACATATTTCAGGGTTAAAACCCATGGTTTCATGCAACGTCCTGGCTGAGGATCTATCGAAGTGGCCTCGCCAATCCATATGGAGTCGCCATCGATTTGCCAAATGCCATGTGACCCTGCCCTGGTTTGAAACTTGTGAATTATTATTGGTATCATTTTTTTTGTTGAAATATTTGTAAATACAATATATATATATATATACATATATATATATATGATAATCATTATTATAATCAATGTGGATATGAATGAATGAGAATAATCAATGTGAGTATGAATGCGTGAATCGCAAGATTCCAATCTGAACATGACAATCTGAATTACACTTGCTTTAACAAAGAATCATATGTTCCTTCTAGGATCTGATAGAAATAATGTAGATGTGGTCATGGCGACGAATGTGGAGCCCCAATTGAACCACAATTTCGGCTGGGTCATTTTGAGACGGTTCGATTCGGCAGCGCCTTGTTTGGGTGATATGTGTTAGTAACACGTTAATGACATCAAAGTGGGTGAACCTTTACAGACACAACCACCAGTTGGAACTTGTTGTGGGGTCCTCCAACTTACGAGTGGTGCCAGGATTTACTGGGCGGTGAACAAGAAGATCCAGCGCGCACATCTTTCAGATCTTGTCACGGTTGAGGATGGGCGAGCCGATCTGCCTCAGATCGCATGGAACCAGGGACCATTAGATCTTGCTCATGCTGGCAGCTCTACAAACTAAACAACTAAAGGTAGAGAATTGGGAGAAAGGCTTGAGAATGAAGGCTGAAGGATTCTTGTGTGACTGTTTACCTGCTGAATCGTGCCAATGATGTTTGTGCAGGACTGGATTCCTGAAAGCGAAGGCTGGGTGTGCTGCACAAATTATTGTGTGTTTCTCTGAATAGTGCAGCAAGAATGGTGTTGTTCGCACATGGTGAGACACAGGTAAACCACAAGCGACTGAAAGGTTGCACAATTAGTGGTTGAATTTTCGTCGATGAAGAAGTACCCTTTGGTAAATTAACAGTTGGACTCTGAAAATCACCCATTTATAGTGGTTTCACTAGTCTTCCAACCCCTGTCTGCCAGGGTCGAACTGTTAATTTACTGGAGGGTAAAAGGTAAGATCTTGTGGGTCACAGTTGGGAGTGTCGGTACCTCCAAATTATCCTCCAAGTCGACTGGATGACGACTGGGGATCCCCCGTCAACTCAGTGGAAATCCCAAAATGATTCCGTCAATATAAATCAATCTCACCCCCAAATCCCTGCCAGTTATTGAGTAGTTATGCCATAGTTCAAGGCCAGCAGTTACATTCTTATGATTTCTCATGGTTATTTTAGGATAATTAATAATTATGATAATTTGGGATTATATGATGGGATAATTATGCCATACTTATGCCATAGTTGTTACCCTCCGGTAAAGTAACATAGCTATAGAACATGGCCATAGAAATAGTGAGTTTTCCCAGTTTCTGGCTTCCAGTTTTAGGATTTACGCTCGGCCCTTTTTTGCTCACAGCGTGGCTTGTCTCTCATGGACGTTTGTGAACATTGTAAGAGGTGGACGTCAGAGAGGGACAAAGCCTGCAGACTTTGCCGCCTGTGTGTATGGAGTTTCGCGCGAGCTGGTTTTCAGAAAATTCTGATCGTGGCATTGCTATAAGCGTTTCTATACTATCAAGTGGTTTTTCTGATGCATTGTTCGTTTGTTTTTGGTGACTTGTGACTTTGGAACGCTTATTGGCCATTTGTATCCGAACATTTCTGATTCTACAGGTTTTGAACCTTAAGCCTCCAACTTGAACATCAAGAATCAGAATTTTCTGATTGTGATCAGAATTTTCTGATTGTTATCCAAAAAAATGCAAATCAGAATTTTCTGATTGTGATCAGGATTTTCTGATTGTGATCAGAATTTTCTGATTGCGATCAGAATTTTCTGTGATCAGAAATTTTCTGATTGTGATCAGAATTTTCTGATTGTGATCAGAATTTTCTGATTGTGATCAGAATTTTCTCAGAATTGTGATCAGAATTTTCTGATTGTGATCAGAATTTTCTGATTGTGATCAGAATTTTCTGATTGTGATCAGAATTTTCTGATTGTGATCAGAATTTTCTGATTGCGATCAGAATTTTCGATCAGAATTTTCTGATTGTGATCAGAATTTTCTGATTGTGATCAGAATTTTCTGATTGCGATCAGAATTTTCTGATTGTGATCAGAATTTTCTGATTGTGATCAGAATTTTCTGATTGCGATCAGAATTTTCTGATTGTGATCAGAATTTTCTGATTGTGATCAGAATTTTCTGATTGTGATCAGAATTTTCTGATTGTGATCAGAATTTTCTGATTGCGATCAGAATTTTCTGATTGCGATCAGAATTTTCTGATTGTGATCAGAATTTTCTGATTGTGATCAGAATTTTCTGATTGTTATCCTGCAAATCAGAATTTTTTGATTGTGATCAGAATTTTCTGATTGTGATCAGAATTTTCTGATTGTGATCAGAATTTTCTGAATTTTCTGATTGTGATCAGAATTTTCTGATTGTGATCAGAATTTTCTGATTGTGATCAGAATTTTCTGATTGTGATCAGAATTTTCTGATTGTGATCAGAATTTTCTGATCTGTGATCAGAATTTTCTGATTGTGATCAGAATTTTCTGATTGTGATCAGAATTTTCTGATTGTGATCAGAATTTTCTGATTTCAGAATTTTCTGATTGTGATCAGAATTTTCTGATTGTGATCAGAATTTTCAGAATTTTCTGATTGTGTCAGAATTTTCTGATTGTGATCAGAATTTTCTGATTGTGATCAGAATTTTCTGATTGTGATCAGAATTTTCTGATTGCGATCAGAATTTTCTGATTGTGATCAGAATTTTCTGATTGTGATCAGAATTTTCTGATTGCGATCAGAATTTTCTGATTGTGATCAGAATTTTCTGATTGTGATCAGAATTTTCTGATTGTGATCAGAATTTTCTGATTGTGATCAGAATTTTCTGATTGATCAGAATTTTCTGATTGTGATCCAAAAAAAATGCAAATCAGAATTTTCTGATCACAATCAGAAAATTCTGATTGTGATCAGAAAATTCACTCAATAAGCGTTTTTTTTCTCAATTTTGCTTATTTTTGATGCAAAATTGAGAAAAAAAACGCGTTTATTGAGTGAATTTTTATTGATCACAATCAGAATTTTCTGATTGTGATCAGAATTTTCTGATTGTGATCAAATTGAGAAAAAAGAACGCTTATTGAGTGAATTTTCTGATCACAATCAGAATTTTCTGATTGTGATCAAATTGAGAAAAAACATACGCTTATTGAGAAATAAACAAAACCGAAAGACCGAAAACAACAAACAAAGACTTAAAACAATTCTTTGCTTCGACCGACCCCCCCGTCACATAAACCCTGGCATACATTCTGGCATTCTATTATATATATGTAATTTCTTCTGGTGTCGCTTCGGGCGTTCTATCTGGCATCAAATATGGCGTTCTATCTGGCAAATCTTTTGCAAATTTTACCTGGCAAAAGTTTTGGCGTTCTGTCTGGCATACATTCTGATCCGACTGGTGAAAAGTTAGATTGCTGAAGATTTGCCGGGTTTGGGTCTCATGTCGCGACCACCGTTTTTTTTTGCCTGTTTGCTGGTTTTCACCCATCGAATGGAAGAGCAATATGACATATAGCATACATATTTATGTTTGGTACAGGGCTTGAGCCAGGACAAGTAGCTGGAACGCTTGATATGCGTTCTTGTGTACCTTCCATTTCAACATGACACTTTGGTACGCTTCTGAGGCCTCCCGGTAACCTAAAGTGAGGTCCGAACGCATATCCCACAAAAAAACCTTCTCCCACGAAACTTCATACCTGTGTGTGGCATTAACCCAGGTATCGGGTCAGCCTGGGTTTACTGAGGAGGATTACGATAGGACAGCTGAGCAGTTAGCCAGCATCCTCGGAATCCTCACTTCGAAGGTACTCCTCGCTCCAGTTGGCGGAAGGAGTAGCTTCATTGCTCCTCGGGATACAAATACAAGAGGAGAACTCCCAGGACCAGGGGAGGAACTTCGCTCTCAAGGATCCCCAGGAGAGCGTACTTCAAAGAGAAGGCATTCGGATCGATCGCGGGACAGGAGGCGCCAACGAAGGCCTCCTACCCGATCTCCCAAACCAGAACACAGTCAGTCTCCTCAGTCGCATAGACGTGAGAGGAGGCGACACCATTCCCCCTCACCTCGCGAGGTATCTCGTGACAGGAGAGGGAGCGATTTAGCCCAAAGCAAGAGGAGAGAACACCCCCTCATAGTGAAGGGTTAGAAAAGGAGCCTGAAAAGAAGGAGATCAAGGAGGAGCAGCCTCCGGATAAGAAGTCCGGTTGGGTTCCTCAGCTGCGAGGAAAAGACGGCCCTTCGGCGCCTCCTCCTCCTCCACCCAAGGGGAGTAAGGAGGTGATCCTGAAAGGGGCTAGCTCTTCAGCTCGGGTGCCCGAGCCTCCTTCTCCTCCCCGCTCTGCGGAGTATAAGGAGAAGAGAGAGGACTTAGGTGAGGAAGCAAAGGGCGCTCCTTCCCAGCCCTCTTCAAAGGGTAAAGGTAAAGGGAAGCACCTTGGGAAAAACCAGAAAGGTTACTACAAAGGTAAAGGCTGGTCTTATTGGGGCCAACAGCCCTGGAATTGGGGCTGGGATTCCTCTTGGGATTATCAATACTCAAGTGAGGGATCAAAGCCCAAGAAAAACAAGGGGAAAGCTCGGGATCAATTCATTGGTAAGAAGATTGAAGAAAGGCGAGCCAAGGCAAAAGCCAAGGGCGGCGGTAAGCCAAAGGAGGCGGACGAGAAGGAGGAAAGTGACAGCTCGTCGGTTACTGCTCCTCCTCCGCGCAGTGAAGATCTCCCTCCGCCCGGTACTGTAATAGCGGAGTCTACGGAGGGAGCATCGGGTGCAGACCAAGTTGCGCCTGAGCGAGTTGAAAACTGGGCGGATGCCACCGAAGCTTCGACGCCCGGCTGCAGTAATACAGGCCAGACCGAAGCGAGTCAGGGGGCCTAACGCGAAAGCTAAAGCCCTGTCCAGTACCGGTATCTTGAAAAGACCGGGTGGAAGAATCCCACCATCTCCTGTCGAGGAAGGTGCGTCATGGGTAGAAGTGGAAACCCTGTCAGAGGAAGATCTGAAGGTGGGTCAAAAAGTCCTGATGAAAATTTGGTACGGAGGAGAGGAGGGTCTGATTCATGGAACTGTGAAGGAGAATACAACGGACTCCGAAGGGCGGTGGGTAGGACTGGCAGTGCTGGGAACGCAAGTGCACCAGTTGCGGAGCTTCCTCATAACCAGTCCTCCACCGGCACCTCTCCTGTACCTCTCAAAGATCAAGAGCTCTCCCGAGCAGAGACTTACTACCCCAGGTATAGGTTACTTACTCTCGTATCGAGAAGTGACCAGTGCAGATCGCCTACCATGGATGGACAACTGCGCCGATCAAGAGAGAGGGGTAGACGAGAACGAAGACCTACGTCGAGCTGCTCGAGGTCTGGGACTACCAGCTCCTACAGCAGGAGCCCCTCCCCCAGATCTGGGTATGGGAGGGGAGCTGGGAGAAGCGCAACAAGTCCCAAAGGCCAAAAAGTTGAAAGGCAAACAGAAGGTAAAAAAGATGGTGGAGGCTTCTCGATGGAGCTGCAAGGATACCCCTCTGGATCCCGGCTACAAGAAGCCAATAAAATTGAAGGTAAAAAGAAAGGGGAGCAGTTCGAGCAGTCCCAGCACGGAAGGATCAAGTTCCAATGGAACTTCCGAGGAAGGACTGGGTACCGAACATCGCCTACGGGTGATCGCAAAACGGCTCCCGGGGTATCTTTGCCGAGCTTCAGCGAAAGAAGCAAAGAAGAATTTGGCCGAAGCCACTGGAGAAGCTCCTCAGAGCCTAAAGATCTTCCATCGCTACTACCGCCAGGTCGTGGCACCCCGCGGAGGGTCGAAAGGCCTCCAACGGGAGATGGTTACCCTCTCAGTGTTGCTGGATACACTGATAGAGGGGGATGTGTTGAAAGCGGCCGATCTCGCCGCTCAACGCTTGAAGAGCTTGGAGCTCATGCAGCAAGGGTCGGATCCGAACCTAGCCCAACAGATCGAGCTCATACCCCGAGATCACCTGGGTATGGTAGCCGACAGCGAAGCCCGGTATGCCCAGAAACAATTTACGGCCGAGACAAGGCTGCAGAGGCAACTAAAAGGGGCCCCGGGGTTGGGGAAAGGATCCTGGACCCCTTTCCCAAAAGATTTCCCCTCCTCTCAGCCCAAGGGAAAGCAAAAAGGGTCAGGGAAAGAGAAGACAGGCAAAGGAGTTGCCGAAGCCAGCAAGGTGGTACCTCCGCAGAGCTGATCTGCATCAGTGATGAGGAGGATCCTCCAAGTCTGGCGGAGATAGATGAGCTCATTATGCAAGGCATGATGGCAGCTCAGTCACAGTTGGCCGAAACCGGCCTTCCAATAGTGAAGGAGTCGAGCTTCTTATCGCCTGCGTCACAGATACAAGGCAACAATGAACAGCCCCCCGTGAAGGTTTCGCTTCTCGAGGATCCGAGCCATGGCGCAGCGTCGGGTGGCGATGCTGATGCAGCGGCGTCGGAGACTGGGAAGGCAATTGGGCCACGGGTTGCTTCCCTGAGTGGGTTAGCTAGACAGGTTTGTAATCACCTCCCCAAAGTCCTGGGCAATTTTAAAGGGGCTAGGCGGGGTTCCAGCATGGAGGGGATTTTTCCGCTCCCCTTGCCTGCTGACCATCAGGGACAGCAGCGCGAGTTGAATCGTACCTGGGAGGAGGGGGTGATACGGTCATTTAATTGGATGTTTTGCAATTCATTTCATTTGGGAAACTCCCCCCCAAACATTCATCAGACCCGACTGTTGGCAGAGATCCGAAGGAGTCTAGTTCTGTTGAAAACTTGGGGGGTGTTGGAATTTAATGAGTTTAACCCAGATGACTTTTTCCGTCAAAGATGGATTAATTCGTATGGGGAAGAAGTGCATGTCGCAAAGCCTTTAAGATGGGAGAACATAGCCACTAGTTTACCCGCGCAAGGCTTGGCAGGAATCTTGCCGGCTGCGGATGTGTCCAAGGATGGTTTTAAAGACTTTTTGCTCCAACCCGGTAGGTGGCTGAAACCTATAGCTTCGCGTACATGGATCAGACCACCTCGGGTACAAGTACCGCCTGACGCTTGGAAGGAGGTGGTAGAAGGCCTCATCAGACGGCAGGTGTGTGGGATTATGCCGCTCTCAGAAGCATTCTGTGTAGAGGGGCAGCCCATTTTGGGTGGACTCTTTGGGGTGCCGAAAAACGAATGGACCCAAGATGGAACGGAGGTTCTAAGGCTAATAATGGACTTGCGGCCCATTAACGAGAACTTTCTTCCGCTAGGGGGAGACCTCAGTACTCTACCAGTACTGTCACAAATGGTCCAATTGGAGGTACATCCCTCAGAAGGTTTGATAATTTCCTCTGAAGACATCCGTGCAATGTTTTACATCATAGGGGTACCCCCTGTTTGGAATCAATTTTTGGGTTTCTCCCGTCCCATACCGCGAGAATTGCGACCGGTGGGGGCCCGGGAGGATTACATTTTGTATAGCAAAGTTTTGCCAATGGGTTTTGTCAATAGCGTTTCAGTGGCGCAACATCTTCACCGCCAAATAATTGCCCTGGCTTTCAAAGATACCCTGAATTTCGGACATGAAATTCGCAGGGATCGGGAGTTCCCCAGCAGCTCAGTATGGTTTAGAACTTATTTGGACAACTTCGACTTACTGTCAAAGCAGTCTCAAGCGATTCTGGAAACTGATCATGGGTCCCTAATGGGCAAACTTCGTGATACCTACAATGAGCTGGGAATCCCGAGAAATGAGAAAAAGGCTGTTGAAGCAGCCCGCTCTGCAGAAATGCAAGGAGCTTGGATTGATGGAGAAAAGGGAATTTGTAGCCCCAAAGGAGACAAGGTAGGAAAATACCTTACAGCCCTTGTTCATGTACTCAATACACGAAAAGTCTCACAAAGGCAGATGCAGATGTTAGCAGGGGGACTCGTTTATCTTTTCTCTTTTCGCAGACCCCTGATGGCAAACCTTAATGATGTCTGGGGTTTCATCACGGGGTTTCACAACGACCGGCAGTACAAGCCGCTGCCGCTGCCAGTAGCTCAGGAGTTGTGGGCCTCCTTTTTCCTCTCGGTGTTCTCCTACATGGACTTCCGCTTACCCACGGACCCCATTGTCACGGCTTCAGATGCCTCCGAAACAGGCGGGGGTTTGGTTGCTTCAACGGGGTTAACAGAATGGGGGTCACGGGTTGCAGAAGGCACCGTCAGAGGAGAAGAAATAGAAAGTTTTCAGAATCAAGGTTTGCTGGTCATATCAGCATTTGACGGAATTGGCTCCTTGCGCATCGCATTGGATACCCTCAAGGTCCCTTTGGCAGGGTATGTTTCTATTGAGAAGGATCCCATAGCTCGCAGGGTACTTGAGAGCCATTTTCCATGTTCAATGCAAATCAGTGACATTGAATCTGTAACCCCAGAAACCCTCCAGCAGATAGCTGCTCAATTTCCAAATTGTAAAGCAGTTCTTTTTGGAGGGGGACCTCCGTGCCAAGGAGTGTCACAACTGAACGCTGCAAGACAAGGGGCAATAAAAGATCCAAGATCATCCCTTCACCAAATATTTGACCGAATTAAAGGGTGGCTCCCTTCGATTTTCCCTTGGTGCCCCATCTATTTTTTGATGGAAAGTGTTGCCTCAATGTCAGATTCGGATAGGGAAGTATACACCAAATCTTCTGGAGTGTTACCCTACAAGGTTGACGCATGTCATCTTTCGCTATGTAGGCGACCACGTTTGTGGTGGTTTAACTGGGTTATACCCACAGGCGAAGGAATTGAAATCTTCCCCCCTCTGTCAAGCTCTGCTTCAGATTGGGGAGAAATAAGATCCCACTATGACTGTCAATCCAAGGACTTTTTGCGACCCGGGTGGACACCAGCCGGAGTTGGTGCTTTTAGCACTTTTACTACGGCTCAACCGTCAAAGGTCCCTCGGTATAAGCCGGCAGGGATTCAATATGCTACCCCAAAGGATCTAGATGCTTGGCACCAGGACCGCTTGCGATTTCCCCCATATGCCTATCGTTGGAAAAATGGGGTGATACATGAGCGTAAAGGGTGGCGAATGTTGGACATTAATGAAAAAGAAGCAATTATGGGTTTTCCCATTGATTACACATTCCAAAGTCATCCGAAAGGTTTTCGAAAAGCGAATCCCCTGGAGGCAAATGATGCCCGAATGACTCTCATTGGGAATGCCTGGCACGTAGGAGTAGTTTGTAACCTATTGCAACCTCTGGTGGCTAGCTTAGGGTTAATCCCTGCGGCCACAGTTTCTCAAATTATGAACCAATGTAAACCGGGGGGTGCATCGGAAGTCTCAGGACTCCTCCTCAGACCTCGAATCAAAGGGTCTATGCCTTTTAAATCCATTGAACAAAAACCAAAACACCAACTTCTTTTGGTAAGAAAGTTGCTGCACCTGGTGTCTCCAAAGGGGGCTGACGTGCTTTTAAGTAATCCAACCGAGGGCCTGCCGCAATACCATCGGCTCAGGAACTCGTTGAGCCCAAAGCTGTGGCATTGGAAAGTTGTGACGGGCTGGACCTGGAAGGCCAATGGAGGCACGGTGGGCGAGCACATCAATCGCCTTGAGATGCGGGCGATTGACACTAGCCTTAGGTGGAGGATTCTTAAACATAAGGGATTTCGAACCAAGATACTTCATTTAGTTGACAGTCTAGTGTCCCTGCAAATCATTACCAAGGGTCGGACTTCAAGTCGGAAGTTGAGATCTATTTGTAAGCGAATTGCAGGCTTTCAGCTAATTGGAGGGGTGCTACTGACGTTGGGATATACCGCCTCAAAAACTAATCCAGCTGATGCGCCGTCACGGCGCTCCCGAAAACGGAAATGGGGCGACGTCAAATAGTAGAGGGGCTGGAAAAATCCGAACGTCAACCAAGCTTGGAAGATGTTGAAGACGTGGCAGCTCCATGAGCTACCAGCGCGCGCAACACCCTTCACCTGGACCACTCTCCAGGTTGTTCTAGGGTATACCCATTCTATTTCCTCCCAAACCTCACTCGGTCTCCTGCTAGCCTTCAAATGTTTGCTTCGCACAGGAGAACTGCTAGGTGTTACCAACAAGGATATTATTGTTTCACCTGATCAATCTTCTATTCTGGTTCGGCTCGGTTTGACTAAAACTGCTAGCCGCAATCCTTCTTCGGGCACTGTTCATGTTATTGGTACTGTTTTAGCACGACTTTTATCAGAATGGCAAAATCAGGTTGCATGGGATGCACCTTTGATCCCATTTAGCGCATCAAAATTTCGCACTTTCTTTCAGCAGGTTCTTTCAGCTTGTGGACTCCAAGACCTGAACCTGAAACCATATAGTCTTCGACGAGGAGGAGCTACCGACATGTGGATCAGCACTCATTCCTATAACCTGGTCCAACATACAGGACGTTGGACTAGCGAACGAGTCATGAAACAATACATCGATGACTCTACTGCGCTGCTATCCAACATGCGGGTTACTCTTTCTCCAAAGCAAAGGTCATTTATCACTCTGTGGCAAAAGATAAGCCACGTTGAGCCACCAGCAAGCTGGCAGTCTAGGGGTCGTGGAAGGAAAAGAACTAGGTGAATCCCTCACACCCCTACTTCATTTTCGTTTGTGTTGTGTCAAAATTGTTGCTTTAATCATGGCTACGGAGTGGTATATGTCTCCATTCCGGAGAGCAAGGGCCGAGGGTAAGTTGGGTGGTCTAGCCAACTTTTCTACCAACTAACCCTGCTTAGCACAAAAAAGGTGAGTGCGCTAAATCCTAGTTTCTGGCTTCCAGTTTTAGGATTTACGCTCGGCCCTTTTTTGCTCACAGCGTGGCTTGTCTCTCCCGCCCCCAACCACCCTTGGCCGAAGGAAAAGAACTAGGTGAATCCCTCACACCCCTACTTCATTTTCGTTTGTGTTGTGTCAAAATTGTTGCTTTAATCATGGCTACGGAGTGGTATATGTCTCCATTCCGGAGAGCAAGGGCCGAGGGTAAGTTGGGTGGTCTAGCCAACTTTTCTACCAACTAACCCTGCTTAGCACAAAAAAGGTGAGTGCGCTAAATCCTATTAATAGCATGGTGATTTTCCATAGTTATGTCAACGTTTACCAGAGGGTATGCCATTACAAACCATTATGAATCATTGAATCATTATTAACCATTATGAACCATAGTTATGCCATAGTTATATGGCTATTTATAGTTGATTCACCCACTCAAAATGGTGATTTTCCATAGTTTTTTGTATGTTTACCAGAGGGTATATGGTTATAAACCATTATGAATCATTATTAACCATTATGAACTATGGGTATCTATGGGTATATGGGGATATTATATGCCATTATTTACCAGAGGGTATAGGGTTATTATGGGCTATACAGGATGGTGCCCCCCAGTTATAAGTGGGTTTATAAACCCCATTAACTATAGTTATATCTGCCATAAACCATAGTTATTGGAGTTATAAACCAACTTAGCTAACTATGGGGCACCACCTTGTATGGTTTAATCATGAAAAATGGGATTGTAATGGGATTATAATGGATTATAGTGAAGTATAACCTATCAAGTATCAACTGGTGCTAAAAGCGCGGCGCTTTAAAAGCGCCGCGCCCTCGAGGCCTGGCCTTCCCAGGTGGCCTCGCGCCAGGTGCCCAGCGTGCCCAGAGCGCCTGAAAAATCTCGAAGTGTTGGTGATGAAGAAACTGATTTAACTATTTGGTATGAATAATAGTTACTAATAGTATTAAGACATAATAATAATAGTATATAATAATAATGATAATAATAATAACAATAATATAATATAATATATATATACACGAAATAGTAACTATATGAATAATTTTAGATATTTGATCAGTATCAATAATCATAGTATAGTGAAACATATTTCTATGGGTAGCCCCAAATCATCCGTGGGATGATCCTCCAAGTCGTCATAGATCCGTCGTGTGCACCCCGCAAAAAGATGGACAGAAAACGCAGCTGGACAGCTGGAAATCATGGGAAAAACATGAGAAAAACATGGGAAAAACATGACTTTCACATCCAAACATGATGAAACTCCTACTATAATTACTATAGCAGCCCCCAAAAAGATGCGGAACAGAGTCGTATCGAATAATTTTGAAATCTTACAGAATTTTGGCAACGAGGCTGGATGAGACGAATCGCATGCTCTATTGGGTGGACATGACCAACGACAAGGACAGACGTGACAGACACCTGGGAGCTAAAACGTGCACCATGGGCAACACCGATGTAAAGGGGATATAGGTGGTGAACATATTTAAATATGGCAAGTCAATATTAATACAATTGTCATTTACAATAGTTATGTATTGATCTTACTGAACAATTTCACCACATGGTGATATATAGATGGGACAATTCACCAGGATATACTGCTACGAAAACAGACGCAATGCCCTTGACAGTCGAATGAATCATGGGATTTGATTGCTACAATACCTCGGTGTGAATAAATGTTGGATCTCGTTGGAGTGGAGATTGACATTCTTGGGGCGGATCTTTCTGGATCTTGTTGAGACTTCTAATTCTTATTCATGAAAAAATATGTAAAACCCACGCTTCTTGTTTTGGCTCGAGATCGAAACCATATTTCAATTTGAATGTCAACGATCCTTGCATCAAAATGCTTCAAATCTGAAGATTTCAGCTGCCCTTTGGTTCATCACTTCCCACATCTCACGCCAAGCGAGCATTGATCAGGTGCAGCGAAAATCATTGGATGGTGGGTCCCAGCCTTAGCTTTGACCATAGATCATCCCCCAAAGTCACCTTTTAATGGGTTATAACTATCATCCCCAAATGGTCGGTTTACATCGGTTTATATCGGTTTATGGCATTGCGGCCTTGGATTTCTCACCCATCTGCTCCGTCCTGGAACCACACATGTTGAACTGCCAAAGGTCTGTCAGCTGTTTGATCATTGATCCAGTACAATGGTATGTGATTCCACTGTTGTTATGTTATTGTATCATAGTAATATGTTTAAATACATGATAAAGAACACACTTGAATAGATGGATTAAGATAAGTAAACATGTAAAAAATATAAACCTATACAAAATATAGTAGATCGTGTATGAATTCACCCAAATATGCTGAGGATGCCATGTTTCCTTCGCCGCAGGTCCATCGAAGATGTCTCCACGGGTGAATCGACACCTCAGGGTGTAGCGGTGGATACCAATGGAGAGCAGGCAAAAGGGTGAGACGGCTGACACCAGATCCACTAAGATGTTGCGGAGGAGATGCGAATGTGTAGAAATGGCATGAAAAATATATATGATATCATTGAGATTCTTAAGATTCAGGTTCTGGTCCATCAGTTTCAATCGATTGTCTTCTTTTGGGAAGTGAAATGCAGTGAAACACATTGCCAGATGCATGCCACGCAGCCCTGGCGGGTAAACGTTATGCTGAGCCCTTTCCCTTTCCCAGGTCTATTGGGTGAGCTTGGGAGAGGACAAGGCCGCAGTCTAGCTTTGATGAAGCACGGCAGAAACACAGATTTGGCATGCTTAGATCCCATTCCAAATGTGTCTCAGTTCGATCCCCTTCGATCCAAAAGCCATTGAAATGCCTATTGCAGTGCAAACCTTTTGACACCATTATAATCATTAGATCCCATTACAAGCTGACTGTTTCTGAGCGTTTTCTGTACTCACAACTGACAGGTCTTTGTTCGAGACATGGCTCTGTCCTCGCCGAAACAAGAGGTGATTTGTTCGCTTGTTTGGAGGGTGCCTAGGGGTTGAAGGGTTTTGCTCCTTGGTGGTTGACAGTTTTTGAGCCTGAGTCCTACTTCGACGTTGAGCTGACTCCTATGAGCGGATCATTTTTTGTTTCAACGTCCACTTACCAGCCTGTCGTTCGATGATGTTTGCCACTTTAAGTGACTTTGCCACAAGATCATCCACGCAATCACAAGAACACGCACAGAACCTGTCACTCACCTCAGCGCATCAATCTCTCCATCCATCAAGTTGCAATGTCTTTCTGTAGGCGTCGTACCTTCCGACAAAAACCAACCCCCGAAAACACAGATGCCTTGTCCTGGTGTGTGCCAGGTCGCCTCTGGTCTAAGTTCTCCCTATGGAATTGTGGTGGACGAGACCAACAACAAGTGGCTATGCCCAAAAAATCGGTCAGGATCGGTCAGGATTTTTCCCTGAGTTTTCTAGATTTTTTCGTGTCTGAAAATGGGGTATGCAGCCCATTTTTCTCGGCCATTTAAAGAGGGATGATGGCTAACCAGTGGAGAACCCGGGAGTTTTTTCATGAGTTTTTCCCTAAAATTTCAGGCACACCATGACACATCCATATATTTCTATACACCATCTGGTTATTTAACGGTTTGCCATGGAAAATCACCCTGCTACTAATAGGTAACCATCTATTTCAATGGGCCATGGCTTAACCATGGCTATGTTAGTCATAACCAGAGGGTTGGCCATGGCTCCTCCAAGGCTCATGCAGAAACTGGCACACACAACCGAGGCTGTATTGGTCCAACCGTGGAAGTAACACGATCCAACGCTGCAGCCTTGGTCAGCTGTCAAGGCCAACTACTGTTCTACTGTTCTTTGCAACCGTTCATTATCATCCACACTTGTGGGGATGTGACATCCGAAAAAACATCGTTAATATGCACATAGAATAGAACTTTTCTTTTACTGATAGATAAATACAATAGATATATTTCTTGCAGAAATGCCAAGCTAAGTCAGTATATGTTCGCTAGCTTCCGTTCTCAGGTTGGGAGTTAGAAGCCTGGGGATCCAATCCAGAGGATTTCCTCACGGGTCTTGATGGACCCATGGGACTCACCATTGAGTCGCTGGCTGAGTCCACAAAACAACAGGAACAGGGCAAAATATATGGAAAATGGTGATTCAACCAGGAAAATGTGGGTTTTAATGATAGCTTAGGTGATTCAACCAGGAAAAATAGATGGAAAAATGAAGTTGAATAGGATTTTGAGCTGATTTTTCATAGCTCAGTTGGTGCAAAGAAGTCCAATGACACTATGGTTTATAGGTGATGATATATCTATACTAGCTCAATCGTCTGGATGGGTAGAAACTAATTCTAGTCTTTTGGTATCAATGGGATGATGTACTTACGTTCACCAGCTAAGAATTTGTCATTTTTTGCAGGGTATCTGGCTGATTGGCCATGATGATATGGGGATGATAGGCCATGATAGAATGATTGAATCGGGATACTAACTACCTACAGTATCATAGTAGAATATAGTAGAATATCCAATAATTTCATATTTACTGTCTGGTGTCATCGGCTCCATGGCTTTTTGGAAAATCACCCATGTTAATATAGAAACCGAGGATGTTTCCAGCCAACCAAAGCTCAGTTTTCTTCGGGGATCTCCCATCGCCATGTTTGATGACTGGAGGGTAACTTCAGCATCCGGACATGGGGTGAGTCGAAGTTCTTTCCCAGCGGATTGCAAGAAGTTGTCGGTTTCCGCCGCCCTGCCCGTGGTTTCTGCACTTTGATGAGGTGGCGCTTTGGCCCAGCTGTTTTGGCTTGATAAAACGATCGAAACCCGACATCCAGTGACATCTGAATCAAGCACAGACCACACTTTTCAATACTTTTCATCGCAAATCTCCGTTTGGGAATGGACCCCGGGAGTGGATCTAGCCTTTGGTAATGAACTTCTTGTGTTCGAATAGAGGGCATGAAGAGTAGCCGATTGTTTGCCTTGTGCCACAAACACAGAAAATGCAAGCAGTCGGCCGAGAAAGCGATGAGGACCGTCCGAGTGAAGCTTCCTCGATTTTTTTTCAGTTCTGGATCTTTCACCCCCTGCGATGTAATCACTCTGATCACTGCAAGTTTGGACTGTACCCAGAACTCTCGGTGTCCTTACTTTGGGAAAGTTTGAATGTTTGGATCCTGCGTTCTCTCCAACTCTGATTCTGTCAAAAATGGGTTCTGACTTTTCATTGAATTTGAGAATATTTAGATAGCTAAGAGGGTAACACTTTGGGACATTTCCATCACAATTTCACATTGTCGAAGTTGATTTGCACACAGGAGCTTCCACCGGCAATGTGCGACATGGATGCACCGTCTAAGTCTCAGTCAATGGTGTTCGAGCTGTCTTTTCGGCTCGAACTGAGTCGGTGGAGGTCGGGAATCTTGTGGAATCGATGTGCCCTATGTGGTGCGTGGTCCCATGGCTGAGGTGTCCCATCAGCAAGTTTGATTCTGCCAATGGCATCTTTCCGGAATGTATCGCATGGAAGCCCGGTGCATGCAGATATAGAACTGAGGGGGAAGGAGCTACGTGGACCCTGGCTAGAAAGAGATCCCTCGCTTCCAGGAACAGCATATATGTATATATACATAGTATACATCCATGATTATTTATATATTATAATATGCATATGCATGTGTGACATATGTGTGTATACAGATTATGTATATCACGAAAGCCAGCCGAAGGCCTGGGCTTGAGTATAGGTATAAGCGAAGCGAAGCGAAGCTAATCTAGGGGGTGTGGGGGGGGGGAGGCCCGAAATCGGTCCGTTTTTGAAAGGTGAGGCCGGAGCCTGGGGGGGGAGAGCTCAAAAACCGACCTGCCGTTTGCCTGGTTTTTTGGGCCCGAACGAGATGCTCCATTTTGGACACTTGTTGGTGGTTTTCGACGGTTTTCATCGGGTTTCAAACGCCAAAACACTGTAATTTACGGTGTTTTTGTGCGTTTGGCCTGGCAAAAGTACGTCTTGCAACATGCTGAAAACTGCGTAAATACCACTGTTTTTGCTAGGTTCTGGCCATAAAACACTGTAAATACCGTGGTTTTTGGTTCCAGGAGCAAAAAACACCGCAAATACCGTGGTTTTGGGCTTGCGAGGCGTCAAAAAAACACGGTTTTTACGGAGTTTTTTGCTCCGAGAATGTTCAAAAAACACGAAAACACCACCTATTTGACCATTTTTCGGCTTTACCTTGTTGGTGGTTCTTGACGGTTTTCATCGGGTTTCAAATGCCGAAACACTGTAATTTACGGTGTTTTTGTGCGTTTGGCCTGGCAAAAGTACGTCTTGCAACATGCTGAAAACTGCGTAAATACCACTGTTTTTGCTAGGTGCTGGCCATAAAACACTGTAAACACCGTGGTTTTTGGTTCCAGGAGCAAAAAAACACCGCAACTACCGTGGTTTTGGGCTTGCGAGGCGTCAAAAAACACGTTTTTTTTTTTTTTTACGGAGTTTTTTGCTCCGAGACTGTTCAAAAAACACGAAAACACCAACTATTTGACCATTTTTCGGCTTTACAAATGAAGGTAAAAAAAAACATGCCGCAACGTCTCTGTGTGAAGATGTTTCTATGTAAAAGCGTCTCTGTGTAAAAGCGTTTCTCTGTAGATATATCTGTGTGTACAAGGGTCTGTGTGTACAAGCTTCTGTGTGTAAAAGGGTCTCTGTGTAAAAGCTTCTGTGTGTAAAAGCCTCTGTGTGTCAAAGCGTATGTATGTAAAAGTGTTTGTGTGTAAAAGCGTCTGTGTGTAAAAGGGTCTGTTTGCAACATTCTGTGTATGCGTAAAAGGGTCCGTGTGTAAAAAGGTTCGTGTTTAAAAGTGTCTGTGTGTAAAAAGGTCTGCGTGTAAAAGCATTTCTGTGTCAAGATGTTTGTGTGTCCAACAGTCTGTGTGCTACTACGACTCTGTGTAAAAGCCTTTCCGTGTAAAGATGTTTGTGTGTAAAAAGGTCTGTATGTAAAAGCCTCTGTGTGTGAAAGCGTATGTGTGTAAAAGTGTTTGTGTGTAAAAGCGTCTGTGTGTAAAAGGGTCTGTGTGCAACATTCTGTGTATGCGTAAAAGGGTCGGTGTGTAGAAAGGTTTCTGTTTAAACGTGTCTGTGTGTAAAAAGGTCTCTGTGTAAAAGCATTTCTGTGTCAAGATGTTTGTGTGTCAAAAGCGTCTGTGTGTAAAGCTGTCCCTGCGTACACGGGTCTGTGTGTACAAGCGTGTCTGTGTGAAGCTGTTTGTCTGTAAAAGCGTCTCTGTGTCAACGTGTTTCTGTGTAAAGCTATTGTAAAGGGGTCTGTGTGTAAAAGCATCTGTGTGTCGAAGTAAAAAAGTGTCTGTGTGTAAAAGCGTTTGTGTGTAAAAACGTTTGTGTGTAGTCTGCAAGGGTCTGTGTGTAAAAGGGTCTATGTGTTTTTAGCTTCACAATGCTGGTTCATAGCTTCTGTTTGCTTGCTGTTCGTTCTAAAATTGTATATGTAGCCGTTTCCCGTTCTTCCCAAAAGCGAAATGCAATAGCCGGCCGAATGGCCGCCAAATGGCAGAAAATTGCTTCCAACAGGTTTCTGCTCTGGATCTGGCTCCAAAAGGCTCCTGGCCAGGATTTGGCCTAAAACGGCCGTTTCCCCTTGAGCCCAGAAGGCACTTTTCGTTGCCGGCCCGCAAGCCGCGAAAGTCTTAAAAGCTGGCTCCAAAAGGCTTCGGCCAGGATTTGGCTAAAAATGGCCGTTTCCCCTTGATCCCAGAAGGCCCTTTTAGTTGCCGGCCCGCAAGCCGCGAAAGTCCCACAAGCTGGCTCCAAAAGGCTCCGGGCTTGCGAGGCGTCAGAAAACACGTTTTTTTTTTTCGGAGTTTTTTGCTCCGAGACTGTTCAAAAAACACGAAAACACCAACTATTTGACCATTTTTCGGCTTTACAAATGAAGGTAAAAAAACATGCCGCAACGTCTCTGTGTGAAGATGTTTCTATGTAAAAGCGTCTCTGTGTAAAAGCGTTTCTCTGTAGATATATCTGTGTGTACAAGGGTCTGTGTGTACAAGCTTCTGTGTGTAAAAGGGTCTCTGTGTAAAAGCTTCTGTGTGTAAAAGCCTCTGTGTGTCAAAGCGTATGTATGTAAAAGTGTTTGTGTGTAAAAGCGTCTGTGTGTAAAAGGGTCTGTTTGCAACATTCTGTGTATGCGTAAAAGGGTCGGTGTGTAAAAAGGTTCGTGTTTAAAAGTGTCTGTGTGTAAAAAGGTCTGCGTGTAAAAGCATTTCTGTGTCAAGATGTTTGTGTGTCCAACAGTCTGTGTGCTACTACGACTCTGTGTAAAAGCCTTTCGGTGTAAGGATGTTTGTGTGTAAAAAGGTCTGTATGTAAAAGCCTTTGTGTGTAAAAGCGTATGTGTGTAAAAGTGTTTGTGTGTAAAAGCGCCTGTGTGTAAAAGGGTCTGTGTGCAACATTTTGTGTATGCGTAAAAGGGTCGGTGTGTAAAAAGGTTTCTGTGTAAAAGTGTCTGTGTGTAAAAAGGTCTCTGTGTAAAAGCATTTCTGTGTCAAGATGTTTATGTGTCAAAAAGTGTCTGTGCGAAAAAAGCGTCTATGTCTCACGGCGTCTGTGTGTGCAAGGGTCTGTGTGTCAAAGGGTCTATGTGTAAAAGCGTCTGTGTGTAAAGCTGTCCCTGCGTACACGGGTCTGTGTGTGAAAGCGTCTGTGTGTACAAGCGTGTCTGTGTGAAGCTGTTTGTCTGTAAAAGCGTCTCTGTGTCAACGTGTTTCTGTGTAAAGCTATTGTAAAGGGGTCTGTGTGTAAAAGCATCTGTGTGTCGAAGTAAAAAAGTGTCTGTGTGTAAAAGCGTTTGTGTGTAAAAACGTTTGTGTGTAGTCTGCAAGGGTCTGTGTGTAAAAGGGTCTATGTGTTTTTAGCTTCACAATGCTGGTTCATAGCTTCTGTTTGCTTGCTGTTCGTTCTAAAATTGTATATGTAGCCGTTTCCCGTTCTTCCCAAAAGCGAAATGCAATAGCCGGCCGAATGGCCGCCAAATGGCAGAAAATTGCTTCCAACAGGTTTCTGCTCTGGATCTGGCTCCAAAAGGCTCCTGGCCAGGATTTGGCCTAAAACGGCCGAGCTGGAGCTGATCTGGACGGAAGTATCGTGGAATGCTAACAACTAGCAACCGCCTTTACTTCGAGATACTTCAGCGCAGAGACAAAAAAAAACCATGAGCATTGCTTTGGGGGCTGGCTTTCGTCCCCCCCCTTCTCAGGTATGCATATCTATATCTATCTATATGTACACATGGGAGAATAGCAGAAGTCAATGTGGGAGAATAGCAGAAGTCAATGTTGACAATCCATCTCTCTAATATAGGCTTGTTTTGCCTGTCATATCTATACATCTACCCTCTGGTTATTTATATAACGTAGCTGCTATAGCTATGGAAAATGGTTCATGAAAGTAGATTATTTATGTTGATTTACCTATTCACGATGGTCATTTTCCATAGCGGCAGAATCTATATCAAAAGGAGAACATATCAAGGATATATACATAATGTATATGAAATTGATTATCATTCACAATGTTAAATAAACCCGGATCTATCAAAAACGCAAGAAATGTTGGCATTCGCCCTGGGCCTAGGTCTGGACCTGGATTGCGGGCTGCACTCAGTGTACTGCAGGAGCTGGGTCAGTTTCAGAAATGTGTTTCGGGCCACGAAAGCATGGCCATCAAAAAGGATGCAGAAAAGTGACATCCAATAATTATAGTACTATAGTAATCACCATTACTATAATCACCATTACTTGTATTATAATTCACCATTACTATAGTATATAACCTGTTTGAATCACTTTTCTACCTGTTTTTCCTGTTTTGGGTAGAAAATTCCCATTGACACGACCCAGAAAACAACTGGGTCGCTGAGCGCACCAGGAATCGTGGGACACATGGGGATAACCAACTCCAGAGGAGAGGTGAGAAGCGACCCTGGTGGTTCGGATAACGAGGATTTCATGGGATTCAGTGAGGATTAAAAAAAAAGGACTACATGGCATTTTCCATGAGGTTCTCATGGGATTTAGTGGGATGCATGTTGGGATTTTTCTTAAGCGAAGTTGGTGCACAGCTCACTTGGTTTTCATGTTGGTTTATGGTGGATACAACTTTGGGATTCTTTGGGATACTATAGTTGAATCGTGGGATGCATAAGGGTATCTTGGGAGTATAATGGGATATAACACGCAATAATTGCAGCAGAATGACATGTGCCCTGGTCAAGTTACACGGTTTCTGGAATAAGCCACGCAAGGGATGGTACTGGTAGTACTGGTACTCCATTCTTGGGATTGGTATCACATGATTCTTGGAATCCCTCATAAGGGATAACCAGGGGCCCAAATGAACCGTGCTTTGACCATGGCAGTGATCCGATCAATCTTATGACGTCGTATCCTGGCAGGTTTGGGAGTTGATCGGTGTTGGTGCTGAGCAGAACCATGGTCGGTGCTCTGCTCAGATGCAGAAGGATGCGCTGGAAATCTTGTCAATCCGGTCGTTTTGAGTTTAATATATTAAACTACTGGTATTTATTGATTATTTATTGATGTTTTATTGATTATTGATTATTTATAATATATATTGAGTATATTTTTTTTGATATTTATTGATTATTTGATTCTTCACAAATCTACTGCTACAGTAGAAGGTGCAATAGACATGTGTCTTGGCAGAGGTTGGCTTTCGGACCCATTGTGCGCTACATCCCTTTGAGCCCAAAACTTATTGGGAGGTGCCGATGGGGGAGCGGACAATTTATGGCTACGGGAACAGGATGAAGAACTACTGAATGGTTGGGTGTCTAGATGGATTTGTCTGAAAATAGGGTATATTCCCAATTATAGCCATTTAATAGGGATAATGATGATTAACCATTGGGTTTAGGGGTACACTATTTTCAGACACACCCAGATTGGTTTTTGGCCTGTAATTGATCCATTTGGCGAGCCACGATCTCTTGAACAGCATTGGCTATTGAGGGACTTCTTGAGCTCATGTGTAACCCTTTTGCATTTGGTTGCAAATACGGAAAGTGAAGCAGATACCAGCAAGTCGTAGTTTGAGGAAGCTACTCACACAGCATACAACATACGAACCGGCAAATTGATTGTCATTCAAGTGCGGGTTGTCCTCGTACCCCTAAATCCATTTGTATCCATTTATAGTTACCATCTGGTAAACGTTAACAAAAAACTATGGAAAGATCCACCATGTTGAATGGGAAAACTCACTATTTCAATGGCCATTTCCAATAGCTATTTTGACATAACCAGAGGGTATTAGCTATGGAAAATGGTCCATTTATAGACGTTTTTTTGCTGATTTCCCAATTAAAAATGGTGATTTCTCCGTAGCTACGTTAAATAACCAGAGGGTATAGTTACAACTATAGTCCCCCCAGTTATAAGTGGGTTTATAAACCCCATTAACTATAGTTATATCTGCCATAAACCATAGTTATGGGACTTATAAACCAACTTAGCTAACTCTGTAAGTCAATCATTTTCCCAGTTGGCAATACACTTTGGGGATCAATCCGACCCTTTTCAGACGCCGCCTGAGCCTAGGGGCACGTGCGATGAGGGAATCCAGCGAGCCATCGAGAAATATCGACAGCAGAGTTGTAGCCCCACGAACAATTGCGGCTTGGCTGCTACATCCGGCACCATTTGGACGACCCCAGAGGTTTAGCATTCATAAGGGACAATCCGTTGAAAAGGAAAAGGAGTACCCTCTGGTAAACTAACATAGCTATGGAAAATCACTATTTTTAATGGATAAATCCACTATTTCTATGGCCATTTTCAATAGCTATGTTAGTTTACCAGAGGGTATGTCATACTGTTGAGTTGTCGTACCTTTTGTCAATAACTCCAGCCTGACAAGAGTTCGTTTTTTCGTACTGAGATCTACTTGCAACTTGCAACAGGTGCTTTCTTCTAATGGTTTTACTGTCTGGTTATTTAACATAGCCATGGAAAATCACCACTTTTAATAGGTGAACCAGCTATAAATGGGCCATTTTCCATTGGCTATGTTAAATAACCAGAGGGTATATGATTTTAACATATTTTAACATGGTCTGGTTTGAAGAGCATTCCAGAAGCTTACTGCAGTTCGGAGCTGTTTCTTTCACCGAGGCCATTGCTTTGTAGCTTGTTGCCTATCGGAGATGAGATATTTGTACTTTCCCTTCTGGGGCTGCATTTGGTCCTGAACTCAGACTGCAAGTGGTGTGGGTGCAGCATCAGAGGCTAGACACCGATGGGCTCACTTCTACTGCAGAAACCTTGACCAGAAGCAAAATAGCTGTATATATCAATGGCCATTTCAGGAACCTAAATTGGAGGTACCTACTATATATAAGGCCTATTTTTCAGGCCAATGTAAGGGAATATCCCCATTGAATATATCAACAGTACATAAACAACAAGTAGGACTTCCAGACATTTCCAGTGGACTCGCTTTTGGTCTCGGCAGCTTCTGGGTCCCACTGGTACTGGAAGTCTTTGTCACCTGGCACGGTACGATTTCTCGACTCTCACCATAGCTTGTGATACTTGAGAGCCATGGAGCTAGTTACCCGGCCTGGTAAACGTTAACAAAAAACTATGGAAAATCACCATAGCTATAATGGGAAAACTCACAATTTCGACTGGGCCATTTTCAATAGCTATGTAGAGGTTTACCAACTATAAATGGTCATTTTCAATAGCAAACTGTCAGTTTACCAGAGGGTAACTACTTAGAAAATGGTTTCGTTCATCAACTTTTCTAACACATTCAATCCATATGAGCCCCCATGCCATCGAAGTACTGCAGCAAATCTCAATGCCTACGTGCCCAGGCCACTCCTGGCAGTCATGTGACTTGGTGCTCTCACGGGATAGATCGGATGCAAAATTTCCAACCCGGAGACCTAAGCCCTGAAACACCAGTTCTAAATGGTTAAAAATGGGGTTATCATTCCATAAATGAGGTTCCAACTGACTTATATAATTTATAGATATTTATAGCTGATATTTTGGGCCATAACTGTAACTGGTTGTTGGTTTCAAACATTTTTTATTTTCCATTTCATATATGGGATGTCATCCTTCCCTCCGTAGCCATTTTGGCTCAAGACAGCTTGGTTTTGCAAGCTTGGTTAAAAGATCATAGTCCCTTGGAACAATGGCAGGCATTTTGGGCCTTGTGAACCTGTTGGGATCCCCTGCAACTGATCGTCTTGCTACCGGCATTGGTGCAGAAAAAGATCAGGGGACGCCAGAGGGTAGATCCACTGTGATTGTCATTAGGGACGATGCGCACTTGACAGGTCGAGTGGGGGTAGCATCAGCTGCCAACAACGGGGACGGAACTCTGTTGCATGAGATCGGCTCAACGGGAGTTTTCTCGGCGAAAGCCGAAGGAGACGTGTATGGGATCGCGGAAGCTGTAAAGGCTGGATATGCAGCAGCTGGAGTTGCGGTGCCAGGGAATTGGTCTGCGGCGGCCAACGCTGCAGCCGCTCTGGCGGCAAATGGTGGGGCAGCCAACCGTTTCGACGAGTCAGCTGCAACCGCTGCCCTGAATTTGACGATCAGGCAGTGGGGCAGTTCAGGTGACTTGTTCCCAAGCCTTAAACGATGCCAGACCTCCGCGTGAACTTGGAGGCCCATGTACCTGTGATTGCCCCTGGGAATTGGACGTTTCGAACGATCAACCGTGCCAACTCTCTCACCGTAGGCATAGATGGTGTGAGGATCAACTGCGGGACAGAGGGGAAACTGAAGGACCTTTTCGAGTCCTTCAAGAAACACATCAAAGAAGAAATTTCTCTGGGAAGAGTTTTCAGCCCAAGACCCGGAGGAGCAGCTCTTCCCGCAGGAACGCCAACTGTGAGAGAATGGAATGCATTGGATCGCAGCGTTCCCATCGTGGCACCATGGGCACAAGCAGGAGTTGGCCCCACCTTGGTCGCAGCATGCGTCGCCGGATCATATGGACATTTCGAAGAAACGATGTTCGGAACAACAAACGCCCTAAGAAGTGTCCAAAATGGTCCTGCCCACATCGCCGCAGGAGGGAACTTAGTGGCAGCCGCTGTCCTGGTCGCTGGGTACCTCCCAGAAGGTGCATGGGTAAACGCCCTACCCTAGTGATCATGCAAGAGCCAGCTGTGGCAGCTGCTCTCACTGCTCATTCAGGGATTCCAGGAGCAGTCATTCCTCAAGGACGAGCTGGTCACGGGGTCACAAACAGGGCAGAGGTAGCGGCTCAAGCACGCAACGAGAAGCCTTTGTTCGTGGGAATCTTTCCTCACAACGCCAACATGGAGAGCACCATCCACATCGGCTGTCGAGTGTCAACCTTGCTTGCCAATTCACTCATCAAATCGAATGGCCGAACCATCACAGGGTCCTCCGACCACGCCATTATAAATGCATCTGCCCACACCGAGAAACTGATCCAAGACTGCATGCACAACACCTTCTTCACGGTGGAGGGGGTACCCGGGGTGTGCCACACCACGCGGGGGACCAGACCTGGCGACCCGCTAGGGGACCTGCTTTTCAACCTGATTATGCGCTTGGTCCTGCACGACATGCATGCAAAGGTTCAGCAAGGCTCGAGGGCAACCTGGCTCGGAGCACCCACACACTGCAGTTCCTTTGCTGACGCCGAAGACATCCCACTTCATGCCTATTTTGATGTGTCCTTTGTGGACGACGTAGCCGTGGCCATCCATGCCGAGACTTTGCCAGAGGTCGAGGGCCTCATCAAGCTTGTGGTGGAATCCTTCCATGCAGCGGCAAGGGCGCGTGGCTTAGATGTGAACTTCAACCAAGGCAAGACAGAGGTTCTCTGGGATATCCTGGGGAAAGGGTCCAAAGCCTTGAAGGAGCGCCTGCACGACTCTGGTCAATGGCTCTCTTGGCATCAGGAAGCAAACACATTCAACCTCCGCGTGTCCCATTCCTACAAACATCTAGGGTCCTGGATGCAGATTGGGGGATGCCACCAAAGGGAAATTGCCCAGCGAGCCTCCCTGGCCATGCAAAGCTGGGGATGCCTTGCGCGTTCCTTTTACCACAAGAGGCATGTCGGCCTCAAGGCCAAAACCACAGCTTTCCAGTCCCTTAGCATGTCCAGGATGATGTACAATGCTCACACGTGGGTTGGGGTCACAGATGACCACCTCGCCACATGGCAACAAAAACTCAGGAAACCCCTGGGATTGATGACTAAGCCCATGCTCAAAGGTATCGCCCCAGTCAAGGTCGATACCACTGACCTTTTCGCCCTAGCCCAGATCCTGCCGCCCACGGACCAACTGCATGTGGCCAGGCTTCGATATCTCAAACGCCTATTGAAGTACTGCCCACAAACCCTCTGGAACCTGCTTTACCAAACTGGTGAATGGCCCCACAGTTGGCTAGCCCTTTGCAAGTCCTCCTTTGCCTGGTTCTTGCAATTTTATCAGGTTCCCGGTGCCCCAACAGATGCTGCAGACCTTACGGCGTGGATCACATATGTGGCGCTGGACACCAATTGGAATGGGAGGCTCAAGAAAGCTGCCAAGGGCTGCCTGAGCTTCCGCCAAGCGAATGCAGAGGAGCATGTTTGGCTCAAAGCTTTCCAAGCCAGATTCGTTGACGCAGGGGGCATCCTGCCCTGTGCCCAGGCCACCCAGAGCGAAACCTGGGTCTGCGACCAATGTCAGAAAGCATTCCCATCCAAGCGAGCCCTCGCGACTCAGTCTGGTCGTGCACACGGGTACAGACGCCTGGTCAAGTTTTATGCCATCGACCAGACTTGCAACGCCTGTGCAAAGACCTATGCCACACGCAAACGGCTCATCGAGCACCTCAGGGATGCCAAGGACTGCCTGCAGACCCTGCAAGCTTGCTTCCCACCATTGTCCGATGAGCAGGTAGTAGCTTTTGACACCGAGGATCACGCAACCACCCTCGCACTGCGTGCACAAGGATGGGGAGCTAAAGCTCTGGCACCGGTGCGCAAAATCCTGGGCCCGTGCTTGCCTCCGGCAGGGTCGCCGGAAGCGGCATATATGCACCTCAAGTGGAGCCAGCGCAATCCGGTAGCTGGCTCTGGTTTTGCGCAGTTGCAAGGGCATGCTATCGCCCAACATGAGACTCATGAGCCCAGGGTCATCCTGTTTGATGCTGACCTTCCAGCCTTTGTTTACCAGTCAGCGGCGGGTATGAACCCAGGCGATGGCAGATTTTCGTTGCACGGGCTGGCAAAAGAGACTGCCAGGTTGCACATCCGCACTCAAGTGTTTGTGCATTTCTTCTCAGGATACCGCAGAAGGGGCGACCTCCATGATCTGATTGAACATCACATCTTTCCCCAGGGCCACCAACTGTTTGTGCTTTCAGTGGACATGTGCCTGCAGAGGGAGAGAGGGGATTTGGCTTCCTCAGCCTCACTGGCATGGTGGATGGAACGCATAAAAACAGGCCAGGTGTGCGGGGCCGGGGGGGCCCCCCCTTGCGAATCTTTTTCAGCGGCACGACTCCTGCAGGGGGGCCCCCCCCAGTGAGGTCAGGTAGCTGGCCAAACGGGATTCCCAACATTCCGTTGAAAGCATGGAGACAAGTGCTCATAGGGTCTAGACTGATGAGGTTTATCATTGATGTGGTGCTGGTCCTGGCCATGACCGGAGGGTGCGCTTTCGTTGAGCATCCGCAGTACCCGACGTGGGCGAAAGCGCTGGACCCATCCAGTGTTTGGACCCATTCAGCCATGCGTCTCCTCCGTACACTGGAAGCCATAGGCGTCACGAGTTTTGATCAGTGTATTTTTGGCTGTCGAGCCAAAAAGCCGACCACAATTCTCCATTTGCGCCTGCCGCAATTAAGGCACACGATTCTGACCACAGGGTGCATGGGACGCTGCTGCCACGGAGCCTCGGCCCACGAGGCGTTAGCAGGTCAAGAGGAAGATGGTGCTTTTAAGACGGCAAGGGGCAAAGTCTACCCCCATGGCCTCAATCTGGCCATTGCACAGGCGGTAGCAGATTTTGTCCAGCGAACCTTTGAAGTGTCGCCTGCTCAGCAGCTCCCCGCTGAGTTTGATGACCTGGTCGCGAATGATTTTGTTGAGGATGATGTTGTTCAGCCGGACTATTATGGCTGATCCATCCTCTGTACAGAGTAGCGCCAGGCCAAAGTGCAAGACCGAGCAAGGACTCCCTTGCAGCACATGGAAATGAAAAAAATGTCATCCTTCCCATTGACGAAGTTCATCATTTTTGAAGATGCTTATTGCACCACCAAGCAGCTATTGATATATCACCGATAAACCATAGC